AGCTATCGCGCTCGCAGTTAGGCGTGTTTATAATTAGCTCAGGCCCAATTATTGCAGAAGGTGGAGTCGGATCGTCCCCGCGGCGTGGCGTGGCGGTGTGTGTGCGTATGTGTGTCCCCTAGAGAGAGAGAGAGAGAGAGAGAGAGAGAGAGAGAGAGAGAGAGAGAGAGAGAGAGAGAGAAATTGGGAGGAGCAAGGGCATAGACAGTTGACGGTACAGCAGGCTCACAGCAAGCTTATTGCAGCAGAAGCAGAGGCAAACTGCGGCGCGGCGAGCGGCGGTCGTGACGACAGAAACACTGATTGACATTCTGCCGAGGCCTCCGCCCCAAAGCTAGACGCGCCGCGCCGAGCCACGCCGCGCCACCTCCTCTGGCATAGCGGCGTGAAGCCAAACACGGACGACGCCGCAAGCCAAAGTCACACTGCCGCCGCCCCGCCGCGCCGTGTTGATTTATTGTGTTCAGCTCTAGCTCGCCCCGCCCCGCCCCGCCCTGCCCCAGTTTGCCTAACCCGGGCCGCTCCAGCTCCACCGGCATAGATTAGGTTTAGACGGGAGCAGGCACTTAATGAGCCGTTTCCCCCCTGCCCCCCCTCTCCCACCCCCCCGGCCCAAGTTGCCTGGGCTGCTTTTCCTCTGCGGCTCTCCGGGGGGCACTTGGGGCGCCCCCTCCCCCCCTTCTCCACAGCAGACCGCACTACAGCGCCGCGCCGGGGAGCGCGGGCGCGCGCGCGCGCGTGATCTGCCAACCTGGAGGGGCCGAGGAGGGGACACGGGCTGTACGCACTGTTATTCCAACGGCCAACGGCCGCCGGCTACAAATGTGTCACCTTGTCACCTTTATCGACAGCACAATGCGTCACAGGCAACAAAGGACAGTTCTTTGCTAGCGAAATATATGATAGCAGAAAGGTTCGCAGAAAGGTCGCAAACTCTGCGGTAGAAACTAAAACTAAACCTGCATTCCGGACCGGGACCGGAGGATGAATGCAACCGATGCAATGATGGGTACGGCATACAAAATGAGTCACTTTGCTTTGACGGCCGCATAACAACAGAAAGTACTGTCAAATACATCTGTCATTGAAAAACATATCAACAACGAAACAAAAGTCCAAAAAAATAAAAAGTAAATATAAAATTTGAAACTGCCAACACTGGAAAAACAAAGGCACAAAACAATAACACCTTTCCCGGAGCACTAAAGTCAAGGGCGCAGTCTAGTGCCTTTCCTGGGGCACTAAAGTTTCGCGCCTTTCCAAAGGCACTAAACTTGTATGGAACTCATATGAAGCTAGCCAGCTAAAGGTGTGAAAGGTCACATTTGATGCCTTTCGAAAGGCACTAAACTTTGTTAGTGCCTTTTAAAGGTAGGGATTCGCACCTTTGTTTTTTCAGTGAAATTTTATTGTAAATTGTAGGATGATTGGAGAAGCGTGTGGTTACTTTAAATTGTACTCCAGCCTCGACTTCAGTAGTTCGCTCGGGCAATTTTTACAGTACTGGCAGTGACCAAGTTTCCATTACTTTCATCTCAAGTAAAAGATCTATTCAGTTGCGTTTAAAAATGTTGTATAACGACATACCTAACCCACGCCTTTTATTCCCCGGGCCACGTGTTGAAAGGGCAGTAAATCTGTCAGAAAGAGCGGGAGGCGTTGCGGTGGGCGCCATCGAGGGGACCATGATGGTGCTCGTGGCGTGCAGGCGGCGGAGCTCCGCCAGCAGGACGCGGCTGCGGCCGCCCGCGGCTCGACCCCGGGACCCGGCGGCCGCCACATCCGACCGCCCCGGCCGGCGCACCCGTCCCGAAAGGGGAAGCCCCACCCAGGCCGGGCCTGAGGCCGGCGCCGGCGCCGCCAAATGTGCCGCGGCCATAACTCAATTCAACGCTTTGAGAAAGTTTTAGCGAATGGCAGGCGTGGGCTCGGGCGTGGGGCAGGCGCCAGGAGCCGTTACTTTTTTCTTCTTTATTTCTTCATTATTTTTTTTTGGTTCGCGCACAACGTTTTATTTCTCATTTGGCGCGCGCGCCGATGGCCGAGAACGAAGAGGGCGTTGGAAGAGAGAGAGAGGAAGAGAGACAGACAGAGAAACGAATTGTAAAAGAGGATCGTCGGGTGAGAACATCCGAAGCCGATAAGCCGGCGAGCATAGTCTTGTGCACAGATATAGGTTTGTGTATTTGCACCAATAGGTAGCCACAGTGAACCATGCAACTGCAGGTTACTTAAGAATACTGCACTGTCCAAAAATTCACAGTGAATTTCACCGTAAGTTACTGAAAGTGCGGCAGGGTATCCACAGCTCGTCGAGGCTCTAGGGCGTTCTTATTGCTCATGCCGTTAAGTCCGAGCCGGAGGCCACTCCGGACGGGCAGTTGCAGCAGCTACCTCCCGGCCTCCCGCTCTATCCGAAACTACGACGTGTAGGACGGGTGCAACAGTGTTGCAAACGTCATGCCGAGCCGAGCGTTGTCCTGTGTACTTTTGCAACAGTGTGACGGTCTTTCCTGTTGTATTTTCAGAGCGCCCCCTTCTTCCTCCTGCAGTTATCGTGTTAACAGACAGAGACAATAACAGGGCGGGCGGCCTCCCCTTCCCACTCCCCGTCGCCGCCAGCCGACAGAGGCAGGACAGGCGTCATCATGGGCGTGCTCCGGGAGCAGCAGGAACTTCCAGAGCAGAGCGGCAGCAGTAACACTGTCTCGATGAAAAGTTTCAATTTACGGACCAAAGAGCTGTGAATGCTGATCCCACACCACCGGGGCTGCTCGACCCCCTCCTCCCCCTCTCCACCAACAAGTCTCCCCATACTGCGCGCGATGAGCACAGCTCCATTTCCGCCGGGGCAGCGCTCTGCTAGATGAAAAGAAAGAAAGAAAAATTGAAGGAGAGAAAGAAAGAGCTAGAGAAAGACTAAATGCAACAATAAAGACCTTGTTGGACCTAGTAGTGTGTACTTTTCGAGAATGTGGAGAAAAAAAACTTTATCTATAGTTCTCTAACAGAATGCGGATCGAGGAAAACAGCACAATTCCCGCACGATTCCATTTTTTGGCATACAGTGGCCACTCGCATAGCCGCGCCACTCATAGCTGCGCTAAGCCCCACTGCTCACCGCCCATACACTGCTGGCGTGGATTCTGGTTGTTCTCTGATTACTGTTCAACAGCTTTGAAGCTAAATAACACATACAGCACTGTGGCTTCATCCTTCGGGCGGCCATTTAGCGGAGATGGGGGTCCCTCGCATAGCCGCGCCGGTCTACAGAGGAGAACCGTGCCGAGTGAGTGGCCACTGTAGTATGAAAGTAGAAAGGACAAGCTTTCAAAGAGTGAGGGACTTATGGAGTATTTGTGTCTGTTTGTAGTTTACCGGACGACCTATGACAGAAAGTGAGAGCGAGAGAGCGGTGAGTGTGTGTGAGAGAGAGAGAGAAGGGAAAGAGCGGGAAGGAGAGAACGGGAAAGGGAGAAGTGTGAGTGAGCGTGCTAGTTAGTGAGTGAGCGAGTGAGTGAGTGAGTGAAAAAGAGAGAGAGAGAGAGAGAGAGGGAAGGGAGGGAGGG